CCCTCAGGACACCTTTGTTAGCAGGATGTCCCACCTGGAATTGGTTGTTACCAAGCCCAAAAGGCCACTTCATCCTGAAAACCCCTCAATGCAAGACCCAAACGGCAGGGCAATAATAAAGGAAGTGGAGATGTGCAGGGCAAGACATTTACTGAAGCAAGAGGTGGAAACTTTACATTGTACATCAATAAGCCAGGTGGGGGAGTTCCTTGAGAGACAGGATGATAAATTCTTTGTGCTGAGAAGTCAGGCTGATCGTGAGCTACTCAAGGGGCCTGAGTCTGAAAGTGCTGATACTAAGTCCAGCGAAGTGCTCGGCCCCATCGCTGCCCACTTCTAGCACAGAGCTCAGTGGTGTTTCCTTTTGCAACCTGGCAGCCTGCTCAGGGATACGGCTCGGCTCGGACGGTTGCCACACCTCGGGGTGCACGGACACAGGGAGCCACCTCACAAGCCCACAGGCCATACAGCTAGGCAGACAGCAGTGACGTGGGGCACCCGGAAGGGCACAATCACTGAGAGCTGCTGCAGTGAATGCAGGCTGAGGCAGACACGTGACTGACTGGCCAAGCCCATCCGGAGAGGCAGGGCAGGACGCAGCGTTCACATGGCAGAAAGCAGGCCTGGGAACAAAACAGGCCTCACTATGACTTCCGCTCTAGCCCAGGTCCACGTCCGGTGGATTCCAACACACAGGCCCTGGAGAGAAACCCCTCACCTAAACACGTGGGGGAGATTTTTATGCTTTTTGCTGTGGTGGTTGTTTAATTTCGGGAGTTGTTTTGTTTCTTTTTTGTTCTTTGCTTCTATTCTTTTTCTCTTGTGTCCTTTTCTAATTTGTTCACTAAATTTGATTCACTTTCTTTTATGCTTTAATTAGACTATTCTCTCCTCATCTTCCTTTTCTCAAATTCTAATTCCTTCATTTTCTGCTTCTCTTCATTTTTATTATTATTCCTACTAGCTTTATTAATTTTAAGTCATTTGGTTGACTCTAGGATATTGTGGCTGAGTTCTTTTCTACTTTTACTAGTAGTATAGTTGTTTTAGTGGATATTTACTACATTCTGTATTTGATTGGTCTTCCGGTTCACATTATTCTTGCTGATCTCTTTTCTCTTTTTACGGGTGGTACAGTTGTAGTTCGAACTGGATCTTACAGTTTGTCAATAACTGGTGCACATTTGGCTCTATTTCTGTTAATGGTGGCATAGTTGTTCCTTTTAATTGGTTTTCCGAAAAATATTAGAAAATAGGAAAAGAAAGAAAACATGAAGAGATGATATGAAAAGTTTTAATGGAAAGCATGAGTAGCCTAACTGACCAAGGTGAGGACAGAGTGTCACAAATAGAAGACAAGGTGGATGTAGGAGATCATAAACTCAGTGATTCCCTAAAAAGGACAAGACACCAAACAAGCAAGACAGGTCCAGTGCCGCTAGGTGACTCGAAACAACCAACCTCAGAATTATAGGAATAAAGTGAAAATGTCCAGGAATAAAGTAAAACATACAACGATAAGAATAAAGTAAAAATCAGAAGACAACTAAAAGAATACAAAATGTATTCACAGAAATCTTTGCAGAAAAAGTTCCAAATCTAGGGAAATAATTCAAGATTCAAGTACAAGAGACATAGAGAACCCCAAACAGCCATGGCCTGTAAAGAACTTCTCAATGACACATCGTAATCACAATTCCAGAAATTTAACAAAAGGAGAGCATACTAAAAGCTGTTAGTGAAAAGCAGCGACTAATCTATCAAGGCAAGCTCATCCAAGTAACTGGAGATTTCTCAGAACAATCCCTACAGGCTGAAGAGCTCAGAGTGAAGTTTTTCAAGACCTACTTGTCACTGCAGACTGCTCTATCCTAAAAAACTGACCCTCAGAGAAGTAAAGACTTTTCAGAGAAAGGAGATGTTAAACTCTTATAACCACAAATGCAGCACGGAGAAACGACTTGAGGCTAAACTAAACAGTGACAAGGAGGTCAGTAGCATCAAAGAGTCCAAAGGAAAGTATCTACCTAACAGGTAGAGTAGTTCAAGGAAAGCAGTAAAGGAATCAGCACTAGAAGAACAAAGCAATGAGAGAAATCAGCAACCATGTTACTGTACTAGGTCTCAATTCCCGGTCAAAGGACTCAGGTGGGCATAGTGTATACAGAGTAAAATGCAACGCTGTATTGCTTGTGCAGAGGCATGGCAACCAAAAGGAAGTACATAGAGTGTAAGAGACAGGACGGAAAGGATCACTCCACTCAACTATCTTATTCTCAGACACAGCAAACTTCAAGGAAAAAACTGATCACGGAGGTGGTGGTGGTGGTGTATCACCTACACACTGGTAAAGGGAACTGTTCAACAGGAGGAGATAACACTGAAAAATCTCTCCCTGCTAGAAAACAAAAACTAGTAGGCTTAAAAGTACAGATAGACACCAATGCAATCGTGATGACGGACTTCCGCCCCCCACCACCCTTAGAAAAATCCACCAGGAAAAAATTAACAACCATCAACATTAAGCCACACCACTGGACATAGGACACCACAGATATCAACAGAGCGTCTCACCAAGCAACAATACATACACTTCTCAACAGCACATTAAAAATGGAACATATCTGGGCCAGGGGTTTACTTCAGTGGCACAGTGCCCACCTCAGAAGCCCAAGGTCCTGAGTTTTATACCCAGTACTGCAAACAAACAAACAAAAAACAAAACAAAACAAAAAAAGGAACCTGTCTTACACCATAAAGCATGTAAGAGAATGAAATGATCCTTCACATAGTATCAGGGCATAGCAGAATGGAGATGAAAATCAGCAGCAAAAATAGTCACAGAAACTATAGACACATAGAGATTTACTAATACATTGTCGAACAGTCGAAGCATCACAAAAGAAGCAAGAAATGGAAAAGTTTCCAGAACGAAATGGCAACGGAAGCACAACGACCCTAACCCTGTGGGACATGGTTCCTGCCTGCAAATGCACTCAGACGGAGAGTGGAGCTATCCCAAATGAAGACACTGGTGCAACTCCAGGTCCGAGAAAGACAAGAGACATACAAACCTGAAACCAACACAAGGAAAGACTTACAAAGATCACAATGAAAACTAATGAATTTCAGACCAAGAAACTCGCAAAGGATCGAGGAATCAGAGCTGGCTGTGAAGGGGTGGAAAGCCGGCCTGGGAGGGGGAGAAGGAGGGGGAGGTGAAGGGAGGTGCAGAGGATCAAGAGGCAATGCGTCTACTCACTGTCTCTCCAACGTCGGACAGACCCACAGCACATCGCAATGCATAGTGATAGCACATTGAGGAAAAACAGGCAGAAGGCGACTAGAGGTGGGAGTTGACAGGAAGATCTCCAAGGAAGACGTCCTGGAGAAGGAGACAGTCGAAAGTCCAAGGGCACAAGAGAAATAGCAGCGAAAGAAAAATGGGCTGCTAAGAAGAGTTGCCATGTGTATCCCTAAGTGTAAAACTGCAAGCAACATTTATTTTGGAAAGCTTTTCAGTGCTTAGACTGTATGTTTTCAGGAAGTACACACTTAAGAGATGGAACCAAATAGGGGCTCACGAGGAGTCAAATGCATGGAGTCTTTCTGGGTGTCTGATCTTCCTCCTTTTCAGTCCAGAACGCATCCACATCTCAATCCAAACCCTCACCCCGCATCGTTTCTGTGTTTTCCGCACCAGTGCTTGGTCACTGCTACATGTCAGTCCGACACCCTCTCCAGGACACACGAGATGGAGAGGCGCACACACTGTGGAGCCAAGAGGAGGGCCACAGAGGCCAGGGATGTGTCCCAGCTCTAGGGAATGGAGCACCGTCTGGACAGACCTTACAGTGATGACAAAGTAGAGTACCGCACAACCACTTTTTCTTGTCACCCGTGACCGGCTTTTCTAAGGACCTCAGGGAAAACATATTCCCCCTGGAGACACACGAGGCTAAGATCCCAACCACATGGTCACAGTGACCATGGGGTCCTGGGGGTCACATCCGGGCTCTGTCCTCACACAGCTCTGCTCTGTGTGGGTCTCCGTGGGGTCTCAGGTCTTGCCAGGAGTGGCTCTGGCTGCTCTGGGGCCTGGGGGCTGCAGCCGGCTTCAGCATGTGGGGCACCTGAGGAGGAGGCAGGAAGGGGAGGTTCTGTGGTGAAACGTGGAGGTGCTGTGTGCTCCATCACTCACAACGCATCCACCTACGCTCAGCCACGTGGCCATGGACCCTGGATGCCATGGTCACTAAGGGTGCAGGAGCAAGTGGGAAGCGCACAGGGAAAGAGTTCTCTTGTCTCTGTGTTTATTGTCTTTTGGGTCTAGACCACATGGTAGGTGGAGTACGGGGGTCCATGCGAGCACACGCTAGACCCTACCTCTATTGATGTCCTCGGATAAACTGGGAAACACACGTTTTCCCATTCCCAGGTGGCTCCTGAGCTGTTCCTTTACTCTTTGAGAAGGGTTTAATTCAGATGTCACCCCAACGCCTATGAGATGCAGTTCCTGCTGAAACCCACTCCCCCATTGTACACTAGAGCCAAGACAGATGTGTGTGTCCATGGCCGGGGTCCCTGTCTCTCTCCAACCTCAAGGGCCCGTGACCTACAGTGTTCTGGGTCCTGTACAGGGAATGGAAGGTGGAGAAACCTCTGCATGGGTTGCATTATCCTCTCCCATGGGCCAGGAGCCGCGAGGGGCAGGGTCCAGGGGGCACACGAGGACAGAGGTGCAGCAGGGCTCTGAGCACAGCCTGATCACAGAACCCCTGAGCTTGAGCATCTCAGAGAGGCTCATGAGAGGACGCCAGGGAAAGCCCTTGTCCAGAGAGAGGCCCCACGCTGGGGACGGACAGGGACAGGAAATGTGCTTTTGAGGATCCTCATCCTCCATGCAGCGGGTCTTTCATGAAGGATCTGGTGTGCAGAGGCCTCTAAAGCCTGCAGGTTCCCGGGAGAACAAACAGGAGCTTCGCAGAGTATTTGCTGATAGTTTATTGAGATGAAAATGTATATCAGGTTTCAGCCATTGCCTTGCTGTGTACAGGTGGGAGGAGAAAGGAAGGAAGGAAAGTTAGGAGTGGAGGACGGGCGTCCATTTCTCGTCATCCTCTGCAGCCCTCGAAGCCCAAGGTCTCGTGGCAAGTTAGTATAAGCTGCAGAAAATGCTGCTATATATCGTGTCCTGGAAAACAAAAACAGGGACATCGCGTAGATTTTCACCCCTGTCCTGCAAAGTCAAATGCTGACAATGAAATACTTTTCCTCTTGTGATTTCCCCGTTTGCAGTGATCCTGCGGCACCCAGGAAAGCTCTGGAAGCAAAGTCAGGCTCTCTTCTCATGTCCCTATCGGTCAGGTGATCTGGACTGATGCCAAGGAAGTCCTCCTGGCTCTTCTCTGCAAAAGGCACCCTTTGAATGTTTTTCGAAGCTTCTTGGTCTCAGAAATGATTTACCGCGAAACACACCACAGGGACAATTTGTGAAAGAGCTGCCAAGATAAACTAAGGCGATCTCAGCCTTTCAGGGGCGCCTGCTAAGCTGTCTCCTGCGCAGAGGGTGCGATTGCTCTGAATCCCCTCCTGCCTCAACTCACTTTGAGAATACCGAAGACAAGGGGAGACCTGGGCCACTGCTGGTGTGGCCCCCACAACTGGCGCTCCACACCGATGAAAAGGCTAACTAGGTGTGCAGCAAAGGGCAATCACACTGTCCTGTGGTGCAGGCGATGTCCAGAAAATTCTCCGGCTTTTTGGTGATCTTCCAAGTTTCCGACAACAAAAGGCTTTAAAGAACACATAAGAAGACTAGCCGGGCGTGGTGGCGCACCCCTGTAATCCCAGCACCTGGGAGGCTGAGGCAGGAGGAGCGCTGTGAGTTCGAGACCAGCCTGGGCTACACAGTGAGTTCCAGGTCAGTCTCGACTACATAGTGAGAG